TTATGTGTTTACTAAATTTGATTTACGCTTTAATTGCTATATTATAAAGGAAAAATGACTTGTTTCATTCCTCACATTTCACAAAATTATTCTTTTCGTCCCTCACTTTTAAAACGAAGCAATTTCATCCTTAACATTTTAAAACTGAAATTATTACGTCCCTGAACCCAATTTTCAATATGAATCAAACCATCTATCAACCTAATTACAAATTTTGGGGGTATAATTGGTAGATCACTTGACTAACTCAACTTGATATTCACGTGAAATTTAATGAACCCAAAAATAAAAAATAAAAAATTATAACATAAAAAAGAAGAATTAATCTTTCCTACATTGTCATTGTATACACTGATGGGTTTATGTAGCTGCCACATCATTTCAATTTAAATTTAAACACCAAATTTTGTATTTATGATATACATTTAGACTCGCAAGTGTATATACTAACGGTGAATGAAAAGATTTATCCAAAAAAGAAACCCTATTATTCCCAGACAAAGAATGATCTTTTATGTTATACTTTTTATTTTTTTGGTTCAATAAATGTCATGTGAATATGATGGATTTGACGGAATGATCTATCAATTCTATCTCCGAAATTTATTACTGGGTTATTGGATGATTTGATTCAAATTGACAATTAGGTTCAGGGATGTAATAGATTTAATTTTTAAATGTCAGGGACCAAATTGCTTCATTTTAAAAGTAAGGGACGAAAAGAATATTTTTGTGAAATGTAAGGGATGAAACATGTCATTTTCCCTATTATAAATTATAGATATGTGATGTCATCACACCAATCTAACGTTAGTTGTGATTTTTTCCTTCGTTTCTTTATTAAGTTGAACGCTAACAAGAACTTATAAAAATGGACTATTCAACTACCCGAATAGAACAGAACGATACGGTCCAAATTACAAAACATGATGGAAAGTAGGGGAACAAGGGGGGAAAATAGAATGTCGGAGGGCCCTAAAAGTCATAAAATCTACTAGGTGGCCACGTAGACAAGACACTGGAATCATGTTCCAATTTGGCAATGAATTTAAATCAGTGGATAATTTCGAAATAAGGATCACATGAAAAGACAATACTGCCCATCCTGCTAAGAAGTGACGGCTTCAAGCCTGCGAAGAAGTGAGCTCTCTTTTCACTTCAGAGGATAGTTGCAAAGGCCTAGAAGGGAAGAGTGATGTTCGTTTTCTGCCTTTGTGGGGTGTGTATATCAGTAGATGGGATGATTGTCTAGCCATATGGTTGGGTATTTTTAGATGAGAGTGGCGGAGTGATGATGGAGAAATTTTCATCGTAGTGGATGTTGCTTTAGGAATGCGTTTACAGAAACTCTCAAGTCTATTATGGGATGATTTTGGGCGTTTGATGGTGTGCCGTAATATTGGTCGATGATGAAGAGTGGTGCAAAGGTGGCGATCGCCATGGCTGGGTTCTTTTATTAGTGGCAAAATTGTCATAAAAATATAAAAAAATTAGATGGAAGCGTCTGGAGTCAATTTTGGACTGCAAATATCATCTGCCTTGGAGATCTGCAATTTTGTTTGACCACTGGAGATCGTCAGTTCATATTTCTCGATGCTTACAAGTAATTATCAAGAGAATTTATGCAGGTGAATTCCGTAGACTCCATTATAGTTATGAACTATAATTAGCAGTAACAAGGAAAAAGAACCATGAAGTTTTTTTAACCAAATAGAGAAGGTGCAAACTTGTAAAATCAAGAATCAAGTTTTCAGGCACCTCTAGAAGTCTAAAACAAGTAAATCATAAAAACGTCTATAGAAGCTTAGCGTCTTCGTTTACTTGCCGTTAGAGGCGTGAAGCGGGAGCTCCTGCTTTCGGATTGAAAATTACACAGAGGAATTTTAGCAGAAACACAAGTCCAATACATCTTTTGGTGAAACAACTAATATTACAAAAATTATGAGACTGTTCCAAATGTGTATATTGTTGAAGAATCATCTGATGCTCTTGCTGGAGAAGACAAGAAAGGTTTGGGAGGGGCTTCCAAGGCCTCGAGGTTCCCTTCTAACATCTCCACAACCTTAGTCATTGATGGCCTGTTGACAGGATCAGTTTGTATGCACCACAAGCTTACAATTATCATTTTCCTCGCAAGTTCGTTCTCCTCTTCATTGGAAATTCCATGCAGTCCGAGGTCTTCTTCACCTCGATCTAGTCTTGCATAAATCCAATGAGGAAAATATATTTCACTGCTATGATCTACTCCAACGTCAATGTTCTTTCTCCCTCCAACCATCTCGAAAACCATCATCCCGTAGCTATAGACGTCTGACTTATGAGATACCCCTCCAATGTTTTTGCAAAAGACTTCAGGAGCAATATATCCAACTGTCCCTCGTGCGCCCAGTATTGAGACGATGCTCTCGTTTTGAAGGCAAAGTTTAGCAAGGCCAAAATCAGAGATTTTGGGACAGAAGTTTTCATCTAGGAGGATGTTGTGAGGCTTTATGTCAAAATGGAGTATTCTAGTATTGCAACCACGATGCAAATACTCCAATCCTCGAGCTATGCCTACTGCAATTTTGTACAGAATTTGCCATCCCAGTTGACAGTCTGTCAAGGATTTTCCACCATAAATGAATTTCTCAAGGGATCCATTAGGCATGAATTCATATACGAGAGCTCTTTTGCGACCCTGGAAACAGAAGCCCAAAAGAGTTACAACGTTGATGTGGGAAGTCCTGCTAATACTTGCAACCTCGTTAACAAATTCTTCTCCACTTCCTTTCAATTCCTTCAAAACTTTTACTGCCACAGGACTTCCATCTTGCAACTTTCCTTTGTACACACACCCATAGCCACCTTGTCCTAGCTTGATTTTGAAGGAGTCAGTCATCTTCTTTACCACAGAGTAGCGATACCTTTTGGGTGCCAGTGATCCATAATCCTTGAGAAAGTCTTCAACATTTTGGAACTTCTCCCTTTTACTCCAAATACGCAGAAATGAATACTTCCTTTGGAAGAAGTAGGCAAGAATTACTAAAATCCCAAGACCACCAGCAGAAGCAGCTGTATGTAGAACAAGCGCACGTTAAACAAAATTCCAACTACTTAGAGGGCTAAATTTTCCTCTTTTTTTTTTTGTTTGGGTAACTATGGATGCACTAATAGGTAAAACTGAAAAACATAAAAAAAAAAGCACATTTCAAGATCATGCTACCTCAAATTTGGTTTTGACACTTAATTTGCTGGGGAACAAAATGACGAGAGAAAGATCAATTTCTTGGATAGTTTTGAGGCGTAATTGTACTTCTAAACCACATACAGCATTGTAGTAACAGTGAGTATGTATGTACCTATGGGCAGAATGACTTTCAAGTTCTTCTTTCCTGCATTAAGAGTTAATCAAAGCAAAGGGGGTCAGTTCGGGCACAAGAATAGATGAGGGACTATATACTGCATCCAGAATGATAAACAATCAAGAAAGAAGATTGTAAAATTGCCAACTAAGAAACAAATGCAGGCAGAACAAATCAGTAAAATAGTATTAATATGCCTTTTTTAGGATAGACACAATGCGGAACCCAGCTCTGACTCCATTCAATCCGACACTCGTGTCCTTCAAGTTGACAATTAGAGCAATCTTCAGAGAGATGCCACTCAAGATCGAACTCAGCAGTCAATAACTGAAACAAGTCGGCGTTCTCTGAGTAATCATGCCGGGAGACTACGGGAAGAGTGACATTTTTACAGAGTGATTGAATGTCTCCACCGAGGTTCACTGGTGGAGCGTGATGTTCTGGATTTTGATAGTAAATGATGAAGCCATTATTAGGTTCACCACAATTGTCATATTGTTTGTATCCGCTGAAAGAATCAGCCAGCTTCTGGCTTGTTTCGGGGCTTCTCTTGCATCCGTAGAGCGCAATATTTGGCAGAATCGAATATGAAATGGAAGAATAGTTCGGAAGAGGCAAAACACCAAAGTCGAAATATTCGCAAGATTTTACAGCCAAAAGATGCTCAAGCTTGTAGTCGTGAAGCCTGATCACAGAGTTGCGCATATCTAAAGCTTCAACCCATAGATCTTCTGTAAAGTCAAATACAATTGTTGGAGATTGCATCGCCTCACAGTTGAGCTTGAGAAGGCCACAATGAGAAGAATGTGACGAATCGAAGAAAGGGAAGCGTACCCCAGTAAGGTTTCCACAATTAAAACTCTCTGGGCAAGTAGCATCAGTGGATTTGCCATCTTCTTCAGCCGAGAGCGAGAGAGGCAGGACATGAGAAATCAAAAAGAAAGCCAAAAACAATCCAAAACCCATACTCAAACTTCCTATCTATTATCTAGCAACATACCAAAGCGAAACAGAGAACCTAAGGGAAATCAAATCATGAGGACTACTTTAATTTTAATACGCTAAGCTTCAGGTACTCTAAGTAACGACGAGAAGGGAAAAACCAGCTCCATCTTTGTCACGCCAGTTGACTTGGAAATTTTAACGAAGACTTGTGGAAAATTGCTGGTTGGTCCATATGAAAGGCAGGAATTTTCCATCCCAATTTCCACGACGACTTAAACCACAGAAAGACTTGACTCGTTTGACTCTTCAACAAAGAAAGTGCACTTCACGTTTTTGAACCACAGAACTCTAACCTTATGTGGACCTCAGAAATTTGTATAGATGGTTTTAACAACTCTGTTTCAGGTCCTCTTGATTGATCATCGAGAATTGAGTTCTGAGATCAGCTAATTGGATGTGTGATTTCATCTCTACCTAATTTTATATCATTGTTCCGTAATAAGAATCAGTCAAGACACATTCAGAAAAAGTTGCAGCTGTATAGGTGACTTCAAAACCAGGAAGTTTCTTGTTTACATTTTTTGAGTATTTTTTTTTTTTTTGTTTTCCCATACTGGTCCCTGGAGAAGGCATGGAGATTATTTGAAACTGTCCCTTCTCCCTAAAGTTCTCAAGGACTTGACTGATGTAGTGTGGCTTATGGCACCCATCCTTGCCCACCGGGGGCCAAAATCAAAAGCAAAAGAAGAAATAGACACAAAGGTAACAAGAAAAGAATTCCTTGTCAATTTCATGCAAATCTGTCACAAGAATTGATTTTTAGCAGCCAATCATGCACCTAATCTCCACAATCTCTATACCACTAGCTAGATAACATTTCTAGATTGTGGAACGTGGAACACAACCTGCCCCAACAAAATTAAATGGCTATGAAAAAGAAGGAAGAAGTGAAACAGAAAGAAACATTCTTGATCAATAAAATTAGCAGAATCATGATTGCCAAGGCCAGAAAAAAGCAAGTTGCAGCCTAATTATGTACCCTTAACAAGCACAAAATGATGATGTTTCTAATGCCATATAAATGAGCAATAACTTGTTGATGTTAGTAAACCATATGCTTCTTTTTAGCAGGAGTAAGACGACGTGTTTCTAACTCTTCTTAAACCCTAATCCATTGATTTTTCCTACGTTTCTGACTTCTAACTCAAGGAAGAAGGATGGTCTTTCTTTCATTCATTCAAGAATTGGCATTAGAGGGAGCCTCAAATCAACTTTCACGAATTCACATGACTTTCACTGTTTGGGCTCCTAATAAAGATATTTGTGAGGGAAAGGCACTAACTTGGGAGGCAACTATAAAGGAAGCACAACTAGTTAAGACAGATGAAAATTGTTAGAAATTCTATCATCACTGCAATTCCTTTTGTAGGGCTGAGCAGTGCAGAAACAAACCATTTCATTTCCTTCCAACCCAAAATAACCACTTCTTTCACATTCTTTGCAACTATTTCCACTCCATGTAAGTGTAAATCCATTTTCCAACAACTTTACGCAGTCTAAATTCTCTATTGATGAATTATTTGTCCCTCCTTCCAGGTCAACTGGTGCAGCAACATGAGACTGACAAGGCATTACACTAGAGTTGATCTCAATTTTTCCATCTTCTATAACAGCATAAGAGTGGTACGGAGTATCGGAAGCACAAAATGATGGGGTGCTGCCTATATTCAACTCAACAGGAAAGGAGCTGTTTCAATCGTTAAACAAGCAGAGATTGGCAAAATTGTGGCCAAATTTGACTGAAGACCGATCAAAAGCAAAAAGTTCCCGGGGAGCAATACATGCAGCATTCAGAACTTCAGCATTCACCAACCGGATGGATTGGTTTTGGTAGGTGGCACTCAAGAACGTACTCACTTCGAGATGTTAAATAAACAGGTTTGTTTCCTTTTCAGGATAACTCAAACCCTGGATAACCACAACAATCTGGATAATTTTCTTCTATGATCTGGACAGTGTAGCTTATCTGTGGACCATTTTCACAATTTCTAGACTTGCAGGCTTTGTATCTCCTGCCCACTGGTTCAACTGACTCTACCAAGATAATGTGCACCATAATAGACATGACTCTAACACGAAAGACAGTGCTGATTCTTAGCAAGCTGAGCTGAGCCATTACTAGAGTGGAAAGGGTCTGTACCATATGATATCTAAGACGTATATAATAACATCTGAGCTAAATTCAAAATAATTCAAGTCACCTTCAATGGTTAGCATTTTTGGTTTCTTACCAAAGTTTTTACTAACTTTGACATGGTTTTGTTGTCTCATTCTTGCGGCACTATTAAACAAATCTAGCATTTTTATGCCTCAATTGTATTCCTTTACCCTATCAGGGATCAGGGGTGGCTTAAACATGTCACTTGATTTTGAGTCCATTACAAAAAAAAAATCGTGCTCCAGACTTCAGACGTAGAATTATATCTTACTGCAGAAGCAGATAAGCCATTTTCGCAGCCAAAAAAAGAAAAAGAAAATAAAAACAGTAAATACCATTCAGTCAAGCTTTGTCGGTAGCCGAATTGGAATTTAATTACACCTATAATAGAATAATCAATCAAGATGTAAAACAAAGTAGAGATACCCGTTTACAGAAGCAATTTTTTTTTTTTTTTTTAACAAAATGTTGTACGTCATACCCATTTGATATTTTCAAAAGAAAAAGAAAAACTTAGTCGAAGCCAAAATTTTTCTTGGAGTCTGATCTGCTTGATTAATCATTTTCAATTTGGTTTTGCTTCTTTGTTCTTTTATTTTTACTTAAAAAAAAATAGACTAACTTATTCCATATAAAATTCTTGCAGAGTACATCAATTGCGAATGAAAAGTATCGTACAGTTCTGAGTTTCAATCAACAGTTAGAATCTAAATCTAAAATTTAAATATCCAAATTTCTCTTCAGAAGTGCCTTGTATATTCAAGGAAGGAAAAAACATTCAGGTAGAAGCAGAAAAAATATTTCCCAGAAATAAAAAAAGAAAAAAGAAAAAAATTACTTCTAATAGACATATCAATCTTGGTCAAAGCTCAAAACCAAATTTCTGCAAGGAGTACACATTTGAGACCGTTGATCCCGCAGAAGTTTCTAAGAAGTGTTAACTTTTGAACAACTTGTTTGACAACAAACAGGATACTAGTGGTCAGTCAAGCTTTGCCGGCAAAACTGAACCAGATAGTAGTAAATTAATGGAGATTGAAGACAAGTAGATACATTAATTTACTGTAGTTAGGGATCACATCCATTTGAGATTCCATGGTCTTAGATTGTTAGGCAGTGGCGGTAATTACTTTTTCTTTATCACGCAAAGGGAAAGGGATAAAACGTTGACTGATCCTATGAAGATTAAGTAGACAAGTGCAAAAGAGTTGTCTGGTGTACATTGGCTGAAAATATTTAGGTGGATGATTGACAACTAACATAACAAGCTGAAGTATACCCAAAACCAATATTGATCGACAGCCTGCAGCACTTGACTAAGGTTAAGGCAAAGGGAGAGAAGTATATGACATAGCTATGCAGTTCATTTCTTCAAACAATCATCTCAGTTTATTTAGTTCAATTTGTCAGCAAGACCCTTAATTTCAGTAGTTAGCAATTCTGGATGTTTGAGTTAGACTAGAACGTCAACATCAATAATTACTAGCTGACCAACTGAAAATACATAAAATCTCCTCATACCTTTAATATTAGACAAGGGTGAATACGATAGCAGCAAAAAATGCATATTAGTCAAAAGAATGAGAACCGGAAAGAGTTGCAAGGAGGAGGAATGGGACAGAACATTCTGTGGGATGAAACGCAGAATGATTTGCAACTATGAGTTCGGCAAGCACTACAGAGAACATTTTTACATATAATGACTGAATGAGTGCCGGTATCAAGAGCGACTTGGTTCACGTACAAAAAGTGCCAGAAATCTCAGAGACTGATTCTATGACAAAAATCTTGATGACTGATCAGCAGACTGGTTGGAGATATGAATCATCCTCAGGTTCCTATATCCATGAAGGACGATTACACTATGCTTTGGCAAGCTGAGGATATTCTAGCTATGCAGCAAAATCCCTTCTCAGATTTCATTAGCATTAACAAACCTAAAGCCATAATCTTGCATAAGAGTTCCTGGCAAATCAAAGAATTTTTTTTTTTTTTTTTTTTTGACAAGAGAAGGCAGGATTACTCCATAGGACACTTAATAGGTAAGAGGGTGGGGTGGTTTAAATTTTACAGAAGCCTACAGGTGGTGACATAAACATCAGGGCAGAGTTACCCGAAGTAACATAAGTTGTAATCACTGGCTTTATGTCCTGCGCTGCTTTTCAGGCTTTCAACACGACTAACTGGAAATTGAGTTGAATGGATTAGTAATTCTTAATAAAGTTGTCCAAACACACAAAAATCTTTTGCTCCTATCTAGAATACCTGTTTCGGATAGCAATGGGAACTAAAGGTTGTTATGGTATCTCCATACACAGTGTAAACCTATATTACACCTTCAACTGGTCCAAACACCAGAATTTTAGATTTTGCCTCATTAGAGGAACCCCTGGGACTTTTCTGTGAACAAGAAATTATCTTATTTGTGAGGTCAATCAGTTTCCTGGTATAGAGGCAGCACATTAATTTGTTAGTGAGGAGTCCTTGCTTCTCAATTCATCTCTCGTCCTCTTGCATTTTTTAAGACTGAGTACCGAATCATCGAATATAGAATCAGCCGCAGCATCAAATAAAAATACTAGTATAAAGGGAATCTGAACTCTACGATTGTCAATTTTTTAAATCAAATCTTAGCATCAGAATGCAGGGACAATGGTTAGCTCTTTAAGCTAATTGTTCATGAAAATTCAGACAACTACTGTGACACCTTCGATATGAACTCCCCGCTAAAGAGATTAATATCTTAAAACTAATCTATCAGAAGACCTTGACGCAGCATAGTATTCCTACTAAATAGTTTAACTAACGTAAGACAGCAGATCAGGTGGCTACTCAAACAATGCACTCAAGAGCAAAATTAATCTGCCCATTTGACAAACATCTTTCTAGAGGGCAAGCCAGATGTGAAGTTCAGTGAATTCACTTGAATTTTGCAGCAAATATGATAATGAACACTTTTGGAGAAAAAACTCATAAAGGGCTCAAAGTACTTACGAGGTTTACAACTCTCCAAATGAGGCCTATCAGGGCAAAAACACCGCATGCGACCATCGGTTTCATTAAAGCCACAACGACCACCACTTCGCTCACATCTGCTGCAGTCAGCTACTGTCCAGTTCAACAGAAATCCCTTTCTCAACAGCCCTTCATAGTCTACAATCCCGTTTCCTCCATTTTTATCAACTTCCACAGGTGCCAAGACATTTGTGTTACATTCTTGGAGTGCAATGTTCAAGTTTCTATCCTCTCCTAACATTACAAGACCCAAATCCTCTTTATTAGAAGGATCACAATAATTAACTTTGTAGCTGGAAAGTACCTCAGGCAGTTTGCTATTGCAGTTTGATAGCAAATGAAGTCTTGAAGTATCAACTATACCGAGCAGAGAGTCTTCTGATATATTTCCAATCTGTGGTAGACAACCTCGGACGGTTGAAACTGCCTCGTTGTGTACCCGAAAAGTTCGATTCTCATACTGAATGGTATCAATCACATAGTCATCTTCGGTTAAATGAATCGCTGGAGAGTTGCTGCAACTGAGTTCAAATCCAGGGTGGCCACAATAGGATTCTTGCAGACCTCCAATGTAGAATGGAAACTTTATGCTTATTTTTCCACAAGCTTGTGGAACACATGCTTCATACTGGTAATGAGCAGCAGAGGACTTTTCTACCAGAAGGATGAAAAAGAATATGCATAAGTTAAAGAATTCAACGGAACTATACATGCCACTAGCGTTTTGGTGCATCTGGGATCATGAACTAGTGGAAGTTATTGAGTCGGAGAGATCAGAAGATAACTGGTATATTACATTATTGTGGTCGGAAAGAAATAAACTCAGAAGGGAGGTAGAGAATTTGAATGCGAGTATATGAAAAGAAGATGGATTGACTTAGTAAATGGACTGTGACACAAGTAGCTGGCTGTCCATGTCTGCCTTATATCTTAGACTAATGGATTCACAATATATAGCAGTTGAAAACTAGGGGAAAAAATACGGGTTTTTACTTTTTATATGTCATAAGAAAATTTGATGAATTGACTGCTCTTCTTGTGTCCAATATATTGAACGGCCACAGCATTGTCTAATGACGATACAGTTGAAATGGAAAAGTCAGTTTATAGTCTGACAAACATCTCTTGCTTTCGAAATGCCCTTTTGAGTTTTAAGAAGAAAAGAGCAATTACTCCCGTGATACGCCCGGTTGATCTTGGCCATGAGGCTACAGTTTATTCGCATTTACGACTCATTAAGCCCCTTCAACTTGCGAAGAACCTGTAGCCTGTAGAGCAAGTGGAAGACGGTAACAAAGTCAGTGGTCCATTTTGCAAGTGTATGTCCAGTACTTTATTGATTCTGTTGATTGAATGGTGAATTCTAGAGCTCATTCTACACGTCTGCTGAAGCTGAAGGGAATAGGTTCCACTTTTGAGCAGAAAAATGTGCTTTGAGATTCAAGATTTAGAAATTGAAGAGGATTATGCTACAAATGCATATTTGATTTGAATACGAGGCACTTACCACTATTATTGGTATTCTGAGATGTGATTTTCTGTGGGCCCTCTGAGACAATTGGACCATGAAGTTTGAGAACTGCATACCATGGTCATTGATCAAGTTTTCTAGTAATTTTTAATTCTCATTATTACTATTTGCGTATACTCCCCTCACCCAGAGGAGTAAAAAAGCTAATTAAATCGAACACTCTAATATTTAACTTTATTTGTTTATTTTAATGAATTTAAAATTATGTTTAAATTTGATTTTCTTTATTACAGAGTCGAACTCAAATGAGTTCTTGTTAAATCGAGCTTGAGCAATTCAAATCTTTTTACATATAAATTTCAAGTTTTATTACTAATCGATCAAAATTTAAGTTGAATTTAAAATTTTATCATCGCCAAATGGTGTTCATAGTTAGTTTAATTAATTGACAAACCAAGTTCAAACAAACTCTACTTAAACCGAACTCATTTCAATATATTGAATAGTTTGATTCGTCTTTCACTCCTATTCTGTATTTCTCTTTCCCCGATTTAAA